TGCAATCACTGTCAGCTAAAGTCGACCGACAAGGCCGTCTTCGATGAGCACATGCGCAAACATGTCAGCGGCAAGCCGAAGCCGTTCAAGTGTCGCCTCTGCTCGCAGCGCTTCGAGACGCGCGAGGCGGCCACTGTGCACGCCAAGCAGCATCAGACAAACTACTTCAAGTGCGGCCAGTGCTCGATGAGTTTCCCCAAGCGCGAGCTGCTGGTCAAGCATGCCGAGCTCCATCAGAGCGAGAAGCTGGCCGCCTCCAGCGGCGGCAGCCAGAACTTGAACACACAGAAGCTGCTCCAGGAGACCATTGACGAGGCGCTCAGCGATAGCGTGCCGGCCCAGGCGGGCGGCACTGTTGTGGCCACCGCAGCCGAGGCTGAGAACAACATACGCTTCTTCTCGTGCAGCATTTGCTCGCTGACCTTCATCCAGGAGACGTACTACAATCACCACATGGAAACTCACAGGCGTGACAAGAAGAGCGCAGCTGCCGGCGGCGGCGGCAACACAGCGCTCAACTCGGCAGCCACGGCGCTGCTCAGCGATGAGCCGGGCGAGTCGGGCGTCGGCGTCAAGGAGGAGTCGCACGAGCAGAGCGCCGAGGCGGACATTGAGAGTCTATTCGAGAAGTTGCATTCGGAGAAGTCCGATACGGAGAAGGGCGGCAAGAATGAAATGGTCATCACCTCACAGGAGGGCAGCGGTGGCATAACCTTCAACATAACCATACCACAAGTAGACGCCACAGGCGAGCAGACCGAGAAGAACTCACCCAATTCGCAGGCGCCCGTTTCGGTTAGCATTGACATGCCTGTGCTGGACCAGGCCGAAGAGGAGGAGTCTCAATCCCAAAGCAGCAACGACAACAAACCAACCGAATCCCGAGACGGCGGCAAGTCCAACGCGGCGCCAGTCTCAATGCCCAGCCTGGACGATGACAATGAGGCAGCTGCAGCCAGCGCAGCGGACACCACAGATGGCAATGCAGCTAGCAGCAAGGCTAGCGATAAGGCCAGCACCAAGGCAGACCAGGCAGCAGCCAAGGAGAAGGCCAAAGAGGCGGCCGACGAGGCTGGCGAGGCGGAGGGCGAGGTTGAGAAACGTGAGGCCACGGAGACGCCCACGGCTGAACAAGCAGCCGAATCAGAGGCAGCAGCCAACGAAGCTGCTGAGGCCGAGGCAGCAGCTAGTGCTGAGGGCGAGGCAGCCGGCGGTGAACAACAGGTGGCCATGGAACTGGACGAAGCCATGCAGGCCCAAGTCGATGGCGGACAGATCAAGTTTATTGTCAACGAGAATGGGCATCTGCTGCAGCTGGACAACCACATACTGACCGACGCTGACGGCAATCAGATTATCGTGCAAGATCCGGAGCAAATACAGCAGCTGCTGCAGAGCGTCGGTGTGCTGCAGTCCGGCGAGGGACTCGAGGGCGAGACGCTGCAAATGATGACCGATGGCAGTGGCCAGATGGTGCTCGTCCATGGCGACAACAATGAGCAGCAGCTGATCGATGCCTCGCTGCTCAATTCCGAGGGACAAATCATAATACAGCAGGGCCAGGATGGCGAAGAGGGGCCGCATGTCATCAGCGAGGATGGCACACGCATACCCGTCTCCGTGTCCTACACCGAAGATGGCCAGCCCATTGTGCAAGTCCAGCAGCAAGTGCTGGAAGCAGCCCAGGCTGGTGCCGAGGAGAAGGAGGCGGCAGCGGCCGCCCAAGAGGAGGCCTCCGAGGAGGCGCAAACCAGCGAAACCGTCACAGTGACCACGGCAGCCGCTGCGGTGACCACCAGCACGGCCAGCAGTAGCACGGGCGGCACAGCCGGCTTCTTTGCGCTGGAAGAGTTTGCCGAGACGAAAACGGACTAGGACTGGCCCTAGGAGCGGGGCCGCGAACACTTCACAATTCTGGCAATCGATGAGGACTGGTGAGTGTGACCCACCCCCCAAATCCAATCCCCAACTGAAAGTCAATTAATTCGAATCTCTTTGTTGTAGGTTTTAACAGATTTATAGACCGAACAGTAGCTACACTGGGCTCTGGACAAACTCTCATCCGAAATACACAAGCACATCCGCATTTTATACACACACAAAAGCACATTCTCTCACACACACATACAAACACACACGCATACTTAGCTTATGTATTAACACTCCAGTTGACAACAACAACAGATTTGCAAACGTGATCGAAGCACTTCACAATTGCTGGCATCTGGATTGGCAATTGTTCTGGACTTGGCGGAACGTGTTAGGCTTAGTTTTAGCATAGGCAAACCACAAAAAGAATAAACTAAACAATGTAAAAAACACAAAAACAAAAGAGAAAAAAAACAGTTCATAGATGATTACAAGAGATGCTTGAATTATAATTAAAAATATATAAAAAACAATTATAAACGTAAACACTAAATAAAAACGAAGAAAAACAAAAACAAAACAAAAAGTTGAATCTAAAATCGATTAGCTTCTCAAAGTAGCCCAACTCGAAGATGTAAATCGATCCCGACAGCTCGATGTTGCAGCAGCTAATGAAGAGGCGCCACACCCACTCACACACAACCACCCACCCATTCACACACACACACACACACACACACACGACGTATATTGTATGGCAAATGTAAAGATACGCGATTGTGTGAAAAATGAGAACCACAAAAAGATGAAAGAAAACAACTTAAACAAAGCTTGTTTATATATTTTTCGTTTGGAATTTAATTTGCATGTAGATGTAGATAAGGCAACCGCAAAGCCAATATATATATATCTGTAGATAGATCGCAATAAGTTGTAGTTTGTAAACAATTCAAAGAAATACTTGTTACGTGCATTGAACTCATTTTGGTGTGCAAATAACTTGACGGGGGAGGGGAGAAGGGCAGGTATCGCATTACCTGAAATCGATATGGGAATTTGACCATGATAAGCAAATACACTTTTTGTTTAGACGTACGTAAGCGTATTTTCGCATTTGTTTTTTTATGTTTATTATTTTAGATGTCTGTGCTTACGTTTAATACCTTTAATTTGCCTTTGTTTATAAATAATGGCTAAATTTGAGCAATTTGCCAAATCATTTGGGCTTTTTTATTACCTTGTTTTGGACATTAAATATGTGCTTAAGTCTTAATCTCAAACAACGCACTTGGCTAGTTGCATGGCAAAGCGAAGCGTCTTGATGATGGATACTTGAATACCCTGTATCTATTGAAAGCGGTTACAAAAAGGGAAGTAAGACTTGTGCCGTTCTATGTAACAGAAGAAAGAATCTTCGATCTCTTAAGCATATGTATATATAGCAGAAGATAAATCAAGTATCATGCTTAGAATAAGTATATATTATTTTAAATATAACATAAGAATCTAGTTTGGTATGCCCATTAAAAAGTTAGACTCTTTGAATATCTCTCATCAGTTCCCAGGGTAAATCGTTGTCGGCCAAATAGACCGAGGCAAATTGTGCAATAAATGTCTATTTAGACAGTTTAAGCTGTCGTTGAGTTACCTATTTTTTGATCGAAGATAACAATGTTTGGCCACAAAGTAAGATACATAACATATATTCAAGCCAACAAGAAGGGTCATGAATAATTTATAAATATTTTATAAAACGTTTAATTAATGCATTAAATGCGCTCGAGCTAATGCGTGCAGCTGTCAACCTAAGATTCCATACAGAATCTCCACTCGGACCAAGCCAGGGGCCAGGTTAACCAAATAAACTCCAGCCAAGGACGCGGCTTAGTGGGATTACTCTTTGAGTTGCATCAACAACGTTTTGCTGGCCTTTTTGTCGGTGACATTAAAAGCAACATTTGACGGCTATTTGGTTTATTCGTTGGCTTACATAATCTCCAGCCGCAAGACTTGGTCAATATTATGCAACGGCCTCAATTAAACGATCTCAATGCAAATGAATGCCATACAATTTTGGTAAACGATTCGAAAGTCGTTCTAAACTAACCGCAGTGAAGATGTAAATATTTCCACTTGCCGGCATGATAAATGATAGCCTATTATTAGTTTTTTTTTTACCCACACTTTTTGTATATTTAATATATTTATTTAATTATATAAAATATATAAATAAATACATAAATATAAATCAATCAATAAAGAGCTCTCTAAAAAACAAACAAAGTAATTTTTGAGAAAATTCTGAACAGTATTTTATATATTATTATTATGCTCTTAATAATATGTAGAAATTAAAAGCAATTGAAAGCGAAGTCAATTTGAAAACATTTCAATACGCATTTAAAATGCATAAAATGCAGATTATGCGATATTTTGATGGAATTTACGTGTTTTTTCGACATTTCGTTTATATTTTAACGATTTTTTTTTTATCGAAACAAATGTTTTTTTATTAAAATGCCAAAAATAACAAATTAAACATATAATATTCAAAAATTGCTATTCTAATTACTTTTGATATATCACTTGGATATTTATTTATATTTTCGTCATATCTTAATTCGAAATTGTTTTCGAATTTGGACACTTCTTAACTGTTTAAAGTGCTTGACAACAGGTTTGCATACCATTATAAACATGGCCAAAACGTGTACTCTAAATAATGCATAAACCCTGCTCCTATAAAGTATATATGTTCATGGGCAGACATGCCGTCAGATAAACAAATCCTAATTTAAGTTTAGATACGAATGTTAAAATGCAAAAACCATTTGCGTCGTCAGTATAGAGAGCAGGGTGTCTGAGAGCGGCGTACACCCGACCAGAGCATAGTTTGGCTTAGTACAAAAATGAAAGAATTTCAACTTAGGCATTATCTCGGGCCAGACTCAAATCTGGCTGCCATTGGCATTTAATATAATTAATAGTACATTACTTCATTTTGTTTTCAGTTTGTATATTTTTTTAATATTTTGGTTTGGACGCACAAAACGGGCAACAAGCAGCTTTTGTTGTTTTTAATATGGTATTCAATCGCATTTGCATTTGGATTTAATAACAACAAGCGTTAACATTTAAATTGTACTGTTACAAAAATATTAAAAAATAATGGCTGCTTAGCCCAAATGTCGACAGGCATTTAATTGACAATTTAGCTATTTATATACACGCATATATTTGAACATGAACATTCAAGAACTCATAGTGAGCTTTACAAACTCCTCGATTGTGCCTCATCCACCGCCGGATGCGTGCGTATGTACTCCAGCTGGCGGCCCAGATGCTTTGGGGCATGGTCGCCGCTGGGCTGATAGCCATTGGCATCGGCCACATAGGTGAAGGTAACGGGCAGACCCTCCAAGGATACATACTGTACGACGCCCACGGCGCCATTCTCGTTGCCCGCCGCCTTTGTGGTGATGCCATTCGAGGTCTGGAACTCGAAATCATAGTGTCCGGCCGCATCGGGCGGCTGATTGCGATAGTAAATGGTGTCAGCCGGCGCGGCAGGGTTCGCGCTTCCCATTGGCAGCAGCAGCAGCAGCGAGAGCAGCAGCAGCTGGAGCTGGATCGATTGAGGCTGGGCAGGATTCATATGTATACATGAAAAGGAGCCACGAACCTTGGAAGACATGCGACTCCGACTCTGATGAAGCGAATACATCGTGCACTCTATATACCCTATATATATATATATGTGTCTGACTGGCTGGGGCGTTGATCTCGATGCGCTGATCTTGAAGGCTGCAGCGAGTGCGACGCGATCTGTTGGGCTCGCAGGTTAATTTGGAACTGTCAAAATAGCATTTGGCAAATGCAAAAAGAAGCTTTCAATATTCAAATTAAGCGATTCTCTCTCTTGCCGAGCTCACCGGAACTTGAAAACTCAGTTCTAACACATTGTTAGCGGGCGGTTCATTAAAATTAATATCAAACTCTCCAAACTGCGCTGCACACATTTTCAAAATGTTGACAGAAGTCTTTTTAGAAAATATACGAACTACTTGATATATGGCTGCCCAGGCCCAATACAATACATTTGTATATATGTCTAGCATTTGATAAGATTGAAATATTTGATAACCAAACTCAGACCTGTCTGTTATGGCATTCGAGGTGTGGCGCACAGTGGTACCAGGCGCATGAAGAAAGCGTGAAATGCACCAGCTGGGAACTTCAATGAAAGCCGCTTTTAATATATGCATTAAAACTGACTTTGAAAACGAATTTAATATGCCAAACCATTTGGCCCACAGTTCATGGCCAAAAGAAACATGTAATTGCACAGATTGCTATAAACAAAAAAAAAATAGGCGACGATAATGTGATAATTTGGTCAGCAAATAAGACACAGCTGGTCTATCCGAGTATCAGGTATCACGTAAATATATCTTGAATTGTGAATTCAAATTAAGAACATGCAAGCGAAATGTTAAAGGTACGTACATATATTTATTTGATTCGTCACGGCGATTTGTTAGCACGTATTTGATACGATTTCGGCTCTCGGGCATTATAATTATGCCCAACACAGATTGTGTCACGGACTAATGAACTGCGAGTATTGGCAAATTGATACGAATCGAATATATATGGTCGATTTTATTTAACAATTGTCAGCCAAGATGGATTAAACCGGTTACGCGAAGAATAAATCAAGCGTTGCGCTAGATTAATGGGTATCTATGCGTGGCGGCACACACTTTGAACTGTCCGTCACGAGTGGGTGCTACTGTATTCGTGGGCCCTTGCAGCACTGTGCAGCCGGAGGTATGCCGACCTAGACCTTGCACGACTTGAACCACACCCATTATCAATGTGTTCCATCCAGTTCCCACACGCGGCGCTCAAGGCGTTAAAAATCAATCAGCGCATCAATCAACAAATTTATGAAAGAGCTGTGACATTTGCATTGTCTTGAAGGAAAATACGTTGATCAGAAAAAAAACAAAAACGAAGGCGAAGAAGTTAAGAAATTGAAAGAAATCAATTCGATTGTTGTAAACAAAAAATGGTCTCAAATTAGGCGCAAGGCAAAAAGATATTTTCAAGTTAGGCTTAAAAACTGCAGTTGATTGCGTCGAGATGCGAGCACGAATTGCTTCACGGGCATTATTATTAATATGATTGGTTTAATCATAGCTTAGCCTCAGAATTTGATGAACTACAAATGCGAAACACGAAAAACTCGAAATATAGTTGGAGCAGTTGGACAACTCGACTGTGTGTCGACACTTTTGCTGCTCGTCTCAAAGCTGACAGCACATTCGAGCAGAAAGACAAATATACATATATTTTTTAAATGTATTTCGGTTTGAGTTCTTTAATTGATTTGCATAACTGGCAGCTCACACCTCCCGTTTGGGCCAGGGAAATTGAAAACCGAAACAGCCAAAGCATCTTTCAATATATTTATTTCACTAGAATCAGTCGTTGATTGGCTTTGAAGCGCTTTAGAACTCGGCTGGTGGGCCAAGACAAGATAATTAACATGTCGATACGGAACTGAGAAATAGCCAGAAATTCGTTAAAATTTTCTTTTTATTCATTTATTTTATGTTCTTTTTCAAATTTTATGTGGCATATCGCTGTGTATGTGTTTTAAATTTTATCTGATTTGATCATTTTAATGGTATTCATAAGTCGAATGTGACGTCTCTCAAAATATGATTTTTATGGGCTATTCGCAGCTTCCGTATTGCCGCTATACAAGCCCAAAATTGATGTGTGCACATTAATAGACACTTGCTAATTGGACTGAATTCCAGGCGCTGAGCATGGCCTCAAGATGAAAAAATCCATCATAAATGATGCATGGCTGCAGCAGGTGCCTCAAACAGGGACTGAGAGGAAAGTAAGTCAAAAATTCGATCTGCCTTAACCTGATTTAAATGATAAACCTCTTTGCTGCCTCAGATAAATCAAATTTGTGGGTCATAAGCCAACTAAATAATCGTGTTATCTTGTTGCAAATTGATTTTCTAGTTAATTTGCAAAATTTACATATCAACGAAGTAGGAATTATGCCAACTAAGGGATATTATGTTACCATAATTAATCGCTATCAAGGCTGCAAACCGGAATTCCAATTTATATATATATATTTTTTTTACTATGCGCCCATTAAAACCAGATGAAGCGAAACTTGAACCAAATATTATAATTCAAAATAAAAAACTTTTATTGCCCAGCCAGCCCCAAACAATATAAATAACTCCAACCCAATTATTGCATTTATTCAAACATATTTGATAGATGACAATTTTGGGCTCAAATTTAGCCCGTGTTTTGTATATGAAAATATTCACAGCTTGACAATATTTTCAGTACAACGGGCAATTGAAAATCAGAAATTAATTTTATTAATTAAAGATGTAATTTATTTAAATTAATTGACTTTTGAAAACCCAAGCTCGAACTCGAGGCAGGAAGTAGGTCGAACCTAGGGAATTCTTTTGTTAGTGTTTGCAGCCCTGATCGCTAAAAACTAATATTATTTATTACACAAACTGGTTGGCCAATAAAATTATTGCTCAGTTTATTGGATTAAACAATAAAACGGAGTCGCGCAGAGAAAACGATTCAAATTCCGTTTTTTACTATAGCTATTCATAAATGCCAAATTGGTTTCGGAACCAAGAACTCTGGAAATCTCATAAAATGCAGTCAGCGAATAAAACATAAATATTGTGTTAACAAACAACATTATGGCTATTAGCGTGGTTTAAACGGAAATGGATGAATGGCCATCGTGGGCCAAGCGTTTCGGCCTGTTATCAAGCATGAAGCTGGCCGAGAGGCAAACGACGTCGACTGAGAGACTATTGACATTTTGATTATGTTTATTGGTTTTTCATCGATTTCGCTTTGGGCCACCGTTTTTCTCAGATTGTTAGTATAAATATAAAGTTGGCAACACGCGCTCGCACCGCAGTACGTTGCCAAACTTTGAACCTCGCGGAGCTCGCGGCGAGATCGTCGCGTTCGAGTAAACGAGCATTAAATCGAAATCGAATATCAAAGAAATTATAATTAGAAACAAGAGTTATCATTTATAGTTATATATATATATATATTAAAAGTGTTTTTGGTGCTCTCGACAAATATGCGAAATTTTGTAAGCCCCACAACCTTGTGCTTTCCGCGACCCAAATCGAAATATGTTGCTGAAATGTTCGTTTCTCGTTTCTTGTTTTGAATATAGCTGATCACCTGTTTGTGCCTGGCGCTGTTTTGCGGCCAGCTGGACGGGCGACTGGTGCGAATCCGACGCATTCGTCGCCTGGTGGGTGACCAGAGTGAACGGGATGCACAGATTACGGATTATCGCGTCTCGCCGCTGGACGAGGAGGGCGTCTTCAAGTTCGCCTTCAGGACCAGCAATGGCATCGATGTGCAGGCCGCGGGCAGCGCACTGGAAACGATTGGCATATTTAGCTATACCTCGCCGGAGGGTGTGCCCATCGAGACGCGCTACATAGCCGACGAGCTGGGCTTCCATGTGGTCGGCAGACATCTGCCCCAGCCGCCGCCAACGCCCAGCTACATCCTGCGCTCCTTGGAATACATACGCACACACAACGAGGATGGCAGCCCGAAGGCGCGCCTCCTGTGAGCTCGCGCTCACACTCATCCAGAAGAAGGCTGATATTACCATATAGCATATACGTATATTTAGCATATAGTAGAACCCCACTAATAACTACCTATTGTTAGCTTTTGTTAGCCGAATTGCTCTTGGCATTCGTGTACATATATAACTCATGTCATCCAACATATTCCTGCTTAACTTGATTGTGCCGCGCAAGCTGTCATATATCTATATTGACAGCATATGGATATTATTTATAATAACAACAGCAACTGCCAGTTACATCCAAATATAGCTAAAAACAATAATTATTAATATACAATAATGTGGTATTTGTTTAAATTTTGGTCTGACGACCCCAACAAATCAACTCTTGGTTATAGATTAACCATAAAAGTTGATAATCATATGACGTTTTCTCGCTTGACTAGACAACTCATTAATATTTATTAGTCAGCTGAATCGAATCGTGATTCTATTTGGAGTGCTCTTGTAGTTCTTTCCGGGTGGTTGTTGTATTCACATTGCCAGGCTATGCGTACAATAGAATGAGTTGTCTGTTTTTTCAAGAGTCAGGCAAGTATTTGCTAAGGTCTAACACTAGGACATATTTTAACTTAAGCTGAAATCTTTGTTAATTTTTCAAAATAAAACATAAATATTGAAAAATGCATAAACCGAACGCTAAATCTATATTTTATTTTTATTTCTAAAAACTGAAATGTCTTCAAAGTCATATAGGTGTTTATCATAAGGAATACCAGCAAGATAAAGATCTATTCTCTAGTTTGAATTGTCATGCACATTTTATTTTCATTTTTGGGGAATACCATGAATATTTCGGCTCATCCTTTAGATAAACTTGACATCAACATTTTTATTTGACTTCAAAGTTTTTATGTGTTTATTATGAGGAATACCATGATCTCAGGTTTATTTTCTAGATAAACTTGGCATCTACATTTTATATTCATTTGAATAAAATTAAATTATTTCAAAGTTTTATGGGCGCGTATCATGAGAGATGCCGCGAATATTACGATTTATCCTCAAGATTAATTTGGCATCTTCATTTTTATATATAAATAAATTTGCCTTAGGCGCTTGTCATAAGAAATGCCATCAAGAGTATAGTGAAACCTGTTGTTTCATTTACCATCTACACTTTATTGCCATTAATAAGCAATGCCTCGTCCTCTAGATTAATTTGCCATCTTCATTTTATTTTCTTTAATGAGCAATACCTTTAATGAGCAAAAACTTATCCTCTTGATTAATTTTGCCACTATATTTTAAAACCATTTGATTAAAATTAAATGTTTTCAAACTTTAATAGGTTTATCTTCTAGATAAACTTAGCATCTACATTTTAGTTTCATTTTAATAAAATTAAATTACTTAAAAGATTTGTAAGCGTCTATCATAAGCAAAACCCATGAATAGTTATAGTTATTCTCTAGATTAATATGTCACCTGTTTCTACTGTGCCTTAGGCGATTATCTCTTCAGTACTCTTGAGTAATTCGGACAGACTTTTGGAGAGCATTACCTGTGTGGTTCAGGGTATTAATTGCATTCACTGAGCTGCATTGTCATCAAGTTCATTGTGAACCACTTTGACACGCTCCTTGGCACTGGGCCACAGCGAGAACTCATCAATTTCTCAGGCACTCGAAATGATCATTGTGAATGCCAATGAGCATACCTTAAGATGAGCATAATGATGATGATGATGATGTTCATATAGGCATCTTATAAATAGGCCGTTTTGTTGTGCTCCCAATCTCCCTGCGGGCGGCGACACTTGTGCGCGACTCTCGCGCTAATTTGCTTTATGATAGACATGAAAGATCAGCATAAATATATCTTTTTGGAGACAAATTTCTCGGTTCCCTTCTGATGAGCTGACGGGCGCTACTTGTCTGGCCTCAGTCTTGCCTTGGCGCTCGTCGGGAACGGTGCGTTTTCTTTTAAGCAAATCCTTGAAGATAGTTTTACAATTTGATATCCTACGCGTGAACTCAAGTGCAGTCTGCATATATAGTCATATATATATATGCATATATGTGTATAAGTTGATATATCTGTGGAGTTTCTATCGGATTGCGTGGCTTTGATTTATAGCTTCCATAAAGTTTTGCATGCGGTCGATGTGAATGATGTGGAGTATTGCTTTCGCGTGGACAAATGTGAAAATAGTTTTTCCTATTAAAATATAACATATATACATATATGCAGATGAAGTGCTGTTGTGCGGCCTGTTGGGGCCTTTCGTGCTATTTATAAAGCCGCCTTAATCTTAATGGATTTTAATACCATCTACCTATACACATCTATATTTTCAGCCTGCTCTCGTCTTCACAAAATGTTCTGAAAACTGAAATTAATTAATGGCTTGTTATTTTTAAAAGAACAAAAAAAATAAGAAAAGAAATTCGAACGTGTAAAGGTGGATAGGAAATAGTTTCGATCCAATATAAAGATTATTATAAGGCATCAAAATGTTGCCAGCACATTTTGTTTTGTGTGTGCTGGGCTGCATTTCATTTTCCGGAGGTAAGTGGGCGGCCCAAAGTTGGGAAATGGGAAATATATATCATACAGATATAAAATATGACAGTCCCATCGTTTTCTACAGATTGAAGTGCTGCGGTTCACAGTTCTCTACGGGAACTAATAAAGATATATGTATATATATATTATTTTTTTTGGGGTATTTTTAAATATTACGCTAACCGAAACTTGTAACCTTTTCTAATGGCCCATAAACATATCCAGACGTGCCATAAAAACCATTTGCTATAATATCTATGAGTAAGATACAGTTTTATATATGCACGTTTTATGACACCGTCAGATCTAGATCAGCGTATTGATGAATCACGGCCAGTTTGTCTCTGGCACATATTTAGCATTATGACAGTCCCCCATGCCCCATCGCAGCCCTGCGAAGAGTTCACTTAATTACCGGCCAGAATTTACAAACTATAAACATTGATACTGCTCGTAAATTTCCGGAAAGATAAAAATAAACATCACGACAATAAATATTGTTTTAGCAACAATTTAACAGATCTCTTCGTAATGCTCTATAAAAAAAGACTATTTGGGGAAAGTCGTTCTATTGGAGTACTTTCAGAACGAGGGTGAGGGATCGAGCTTAAATAATGGTAATGATATTAACCATAAAGGTGAACAAGTCGAGCATGCCCGATTAGAAGATATCCTGCATCCAGCGGCCGTGCAGAACTAAAGCTATGCCTCAAAAAATGGAAAACCGAAAATTGACAAACACGAACGAGAACTAAAGGACAACATTTGGATTCTCTAGCCTTAATCATCTCCCAAAACCAATATGCCTTCTTTTGCCCAGTTGCAATGGGTATATGGCACAAGATTCACAATGTTAACGAACTTTCATGTTGCAGTAACGCACGCCGTCTACGAGGACTGTAAGACACCCCCGCCCGTGGATCATGGCCGTGCAGTGCTGTTCGAGAGGGGCCCAGTCAACATCGCCGTCTACAAATGTGCGGCGGGGTATGTGCTGAAGGGTTCCAACGAGCTGCTCTGCAATGTGGACAGCGAGGAATGGCAGGGCGAGCCGCCCAACTGCATCGAGGGCAAGAGCAAGGGCAAGGGTAAGTGAAGCGAAGGTTGCTTAGTTGCAGGATGAGCTCATGATATGAACGCTTGGCACAGTGAACACTCATCACAACGAACGCAAGAAGAAAATGCTGTCCATTCCCGAGGAGCCAAACGTGGCCCTCGAGCTAGCCCAGCAGCTGGACTTCAGCTGCATTCAATCCAAGGTGCAGGCACCCGAGATCAGCCATGGCATAGTCGCCAAATACGAGCGACGTCGTCGCGGCGACAAGATCTTCCTGGTGGCCTACTACGCCTGCAACGATAACTACGATTTTGAGCGGACGCAGGTGCAGGCGCTCTACTGCAGCGCCAGCCAGTGGGTGGGCGAGCTGCCCGCCTGCTTGCCGCGCGTCGAATATCCAGAGGGGGACGACGACGAGGACAACGATGATGACTACGATGAATACGAAACGATTGAGGGCGAGGCTGCCGAGGATCTGGAAAGCGATTCACAACTAGGTCAGAGTGTGGAGCCTGTGGCGCCTCCACCACCGCCGCCACCAGTCGAGAAGCAGGAGCCGGAGGCGGAGCTGCTGGAGCCACAAATTGAGACAGAGCCCGAGCCGGCCATAAATCCCGAATCCGAGGCAGCAGTCGAGCCTGCAGTGGAGACAGCTCCCGAGGTGGTGCCAGTACTAAGCCCAGAGGATGCGGAACCAGAAATTGTGGTGCACGTGAATGAGCCGCAGCCCGAGTCTCGACCAGAGTCGGAGCAGGAGCCGGAGCCAGAGCTGGAGCCGGAAGTCGCAACTGAGGCTGTGCCAGCAGCTGCTGTCACAGACATCAACATTGTTGTGGAGCCCACAAAGGATCCATACTCGCCACGTCTGCTGGACGAGAGCTGCGGAGAGGATCGCGGTGGCTGCGCCCAAAAATGCGAGCGTCTCCTATTCCCCGGCGAGAATGAGCCGCGTCTCAAGTGCAGCTGCAACGAGGGCTACACCCTGGATCCGCAGGACTATTCCAGCTGTCTTGGTAGGTGCCAGCCGCTTAGCTTCAATAGAAAAGCTGAACTCATTCTTGTTGCCTCCCTTGCAGACATCGATGAGTGCCAGGAGTCCAATGGCGGCTGCTCCCAGATCTGCAACAACCTGCCCGGCAGCCACGAGTGCGCCTGCGAGAATGGCTACCAGATTGATGCCTCCACCGGCAACAGCTGCGTGGGTGAGTCCTGGCCATATGCTGTTCCAAATGCCAACGAGCTAATTCGATTTTTTTAATCTGCAGATATCGATGAGTGCGCACAGCCGGAGCTGGCCGAGGAGTGCGCCTACGGCTGTGTAAATACGCCTGGTTCCTATCGCTGTGTGATACCCTTGGATACCAAAGAGGACGCCGACGAGGTGTCCCAGGAAACGCCGCCAGTTAATCCAGTAGAGCCGAAGTCTGAGGTCGAGTCGAGTGTGGAGCCGGCTGTGGAGCCTGCGCCCGTGCAGCCCAGCTGCAATCCGGGCTTTGCGCTCGCGCCGGATGCCAGCGAGTGCCAGGACATCAACGAGTGCGACATCGTTGTGGAGGACAACGAGAACGCGGATCATGTGCCGCATCGCGTCTGCCAGCAGCAGTGCGAGAATACGATCGGCTCCTATCGCTGCAGCTGCCGCGAGGGCTACCACCTGCTCGAGGAGGATCAGAGCAGCTGTGTGCCCGACAGCTGCGAGGACCTGGACAATCCGCAATTGAATCGCCTGCGCTGCGCCCACCAGTGCGAGAATCTGCCCAATGGCGGCTATGCGTGCATCTGCCCCGCCGGCTACAAGCTTGACGAGGATTTGCACAACTGCGTGGTGCTGGAGACGGTGTGCAGCCGGGAGCAGGGACACGAGCGCTGTCGCCCGGGCAGCTGCCTGCCCAGCGAGGACAACAGCACGTTCAGTTGCCTCTGCCCGCCCGGCTACGCCAGTGAGGTGTTCAGCTGCCAGGATCTGGACGAGTGCGCCCTGGGCACACACAAGTGCAG